AAAGCAATTCGGCAAAACTGCATCCAAGATGTTCTCTTCAGTCGCGACAGTTGCTGCCAAGGAGTGGTGTATGGTAAGTTTTTAGCGAATCTGTAAAATAATCCAAATTCTCAAGCTCATTGATGGTTTAAGTTTGACAAGTTGTATTGGACAAACTGTTGCAGGAATTCCATCGAAGGAAACATTCACTCATTTCAATCTCCGGCCCTCTCCGTTTCCTCCAGCAGGTGGGTTGCAAGGAGAAAAAAAACAAGAACTTCAGTGTGAAAGCAACGGGGAAGTTCAGGCTCCCTTCATGGACATGAGTAAACTTGATTTTGTAGAGCAACAGAAACTGGAAGCCTGTTTGAGAGAATAAAGAATCATTCACTAAGGGGACATCTGAGAGGCTCAATTTGGATGAAACAAATCTTTCGCCAACCAATCTTGGGCAAATTCATTCAAGCGCTCGAGGAGGTCGTCGGGCTTGCACTTTCGGATAGGCAAGACAGGAGGCTGGCTCCGTGAAGAAGCCTATACACACACTCCAAAGAGCCTGATCACCAATTTTTCAATAAACTTCGTGGACATAAAAAACAAAGGCAGGGCACAATTGAAACTTCAGCAGAAATTAATTTTAGAACTGCTTCTGAAACGCTTTTACATCATTTTTGCATTGAAACCTTAATATTTTATCGTTCTGATAAAGCTCTACTGACACCTCGCCAATTCATCTCCGGTTGACATTTTGTATCCGAAAAACATTGATAGTTTTAAGACCACACAATCAAAGACTGCCTAGTCTCCTCTGCCGACAGCCTATTCACGAAGCGCATCGGTTGAGGAACAAGTTCGGGAAACGCAACAATATTTTTGCCAGTTAGGAAATTTCAATGTGATAAGCTCGCTGCATTAAAAACGAGATGTTATATCAATGAAGGGTCGTTCATAAGCCGTCCCCTGGCACCACTTCTGAGAAATCGCCAATACTTTCTAAATGTAGAAGAACTCACCAAATGTTGGAATTTCCTCAGTTACTGCTAACACTGAGTAGATATCAAATCTACAGGATATGAAGTTGACTCCACATTACTCCTTAGCTTATACGTCCCTCGTTCTCTGATGTGTCGGTAGTAGCACAATGTCAAATAGCTCCACCATATTTCACAAATAGCTAAAACCGAGGTGGAAGAACTGACAACCACATTTTTTCCCAGAGCGTTCTAATGTATTGCTTTATAAAAGTATACCTGGCACCGACAGCATGGCAGTGAGGACAACACTAGATGGCAGCAGCATCTTTCCATGAAAACCCATTATTAACAAGGCTGAAAGTGTGCATACTTCAGCGTATGTTAGTTTAAATTGCAACATTTTGCTTTCAAACGGCTTAGAAAAAAGGACAAGTCAGCTTTGTTCCTATACAATAAAATTTTCCCAGATTTGGATTATCAGATTTTCCTAATTCTTCCTAGTCCGCGTACACATGAAGGTCGAAGGTTTTGCTACAAATACCTAGTCCTTGTCTACCAGTAATCCTGTTCGGAGATGCTAAGAATGGGAGGAATACCCATGGTGACCTCCAGTGCCTTGTGCTTGAATAAATGTGGCTCGACCTCGTAGTTCTGATGGATGTCATATGTGACTTTTGAATTGACTTTTCAACAGTCTCTTCTGCCCAGCGAGAACGAATGTCGTCTCCATGCTCTCTGTTTCGAGGTCTGGGTCCTGTTTCCGACAGAATCTAACCAGGGCCTCCCGCTAAACGTCAATAGCCTTGCTAGGCATGTGAAGCGAAACCTAACGTGAAGCAGGGCACCCTTTTTCCATAAAAACAGCATTATTGTGTTGCTGCACAGTGGAGACATAGACAACATTATCAAGTATCACCCAATCTGATTACCATCTGTAGTCTACTTATACCTCTTCCTGGAGCGAGAACAGCCCTTGGACTACAGTGCTAGCAACAATATGCATCCATAGTCATTCTCGCATGAAAGGAAAATAAGCAAGACTAGAAGCTGGAGCATGTTTTCTTCTGGACGATAGCAGAGTTAGAGGTTGCATCGTTCTACTATGCTCTAAACTCAAGCGCCAAGGGCATAGCGCTGTGAAGGAAGAATTTCCAAAATTCCAAGCATGTGTGTTGCGGAGAGATGATTCTGAGCCAGAATGGGGAACCTTCAGCCTGGGTGCAAGGAGTGAGAAGGAATCGGAGAGCGTGATCCTTCTCGCAAAAATTAGTATGAGAGAGAAATTAGTCTACTGTTTCGTAAGAGCAAGCAGGGGGAGCTGTGAAAACGCAGCCTGCACAAGCTCCGTTTTCATCTGTCAACTAGTTTGTTTGAGGAATTATGAATGTGCAAGTTATAACGAGCCCTGCACTTGAAGACGTGCACTCTATCGAAAGGGTTTCCGGGGGTGGGGTGGGGTGGGGAGGG